AAAAAAAAAAAAAAAATCACTTACCAACAGCACAGTCCCCAGAATGAAGATTTGTTCTACTGCAAACTGGCTGTAGAATCATAATTTGGAATTATGATTCTTAACCTTAAGAATATAGGTTTTACAATCAGATTGACAGAGTTCAAATTCCAGCTCCACTGCTTACTAGCAATCTGACTTTCAGCAAATTACTACTTAATCTCTCTAAACCTCAGCTTCCTTTTCTGTGAAATGGGGGAAATAAAAATACATAGGCTGGATAGAAAAATTTGGGAACGAGTAAGGGTGATGGTTGAGCAACATGATGAACATAAATAATGTTACTGAACTGTAGATATGTAGAGTGTTGAAATGGCAAATGTTTTGTTACATAAGCTCTACCAAAAATTAAGCCGTGAGAACTTGGAGAAGTTATAACTCCTGTAATCTTCAACTTGTACTATTTTTCAAGGTTGTTGTAAAGCTTAATAAGCTAATGTATGTAAAACTATAGGCTGGGTGACTCTGAATCTCTCTCCTACCTCCATGCAGCTCAGTAAGTATATCCAAAGATAAAACCAGAATTAGTTAATAAACAGGCCTCTGAGAAAAGAACTCTGTTGTTGGGTGCAGTTGATTCCAACTCACAGCAACCCCATGTGACACAGCAAAACTGCCCCACAGGGTTTTCTTGGCTGTAATCTTTACGGAAGCAGATCACCAGGTCTTTTTGCCACAGAGCTGCTGAGAGAGTTCAAACCACCAACCATTCTGTTAACAGCCAAGCGCTGTTGTGCCACCAAGGCTCCTTGGAGAACTCTAAACCCACCAAACAGTCTTTGGATTCTTGGAAAGAAATTTTATCTTCTGTAGCCAGTCTTTCTCATTTCTTCCTATTTATTCATTATGAAATCAAAATCAGTGTCACAAATTTATGCTCTTCCTCTAGGAGCAATGATAAGAAAAACTTCATTGCCATGTCATTCCAGGGATTTCAAATGGCTCTTTTTTTTAAAAAGCACAGTTTCCTACTGGAGAGTACCACACCAGTCGATAAAATATAGCACCTGTAACACTACAAAACTGAACTACGTAACATTCAAGCCAGAAAAGTAGGTCCTCTAGATACCTAAACGTTTCTCTAAATCCCTCTTATTTGCCTTAACTGACATTTGCCCCAAAATTCAAGGCAATTATTCCTGTCCAACCATACACCCCCACAGAAAATTGTCAT